CTGTAGTACCTGGTTGTTCCACCAGGTGGAGCCTCTCCCTGTTTGATACTATACTGACTAAATAAAAACGTTGTCAGTAGACACAGTTTGACGCTACGCTTCCAAAGCAACACACGTACGAGAAAAACTAGCTTAAGCTCGCTATACGTTAGCCGTCAGTAGCGATGTCCATCTGATCTGTTTAACAACTAGTATCTAAAAGTTGTTATATATAATCGTTATTAATAATTTAACCAATTAAAAATATACTAACAGATAGGGCAGAAGAAGAAGGTCGTGATACAACTACACAACAGGGCTGTGTAGTGCTGACAGAAGGTGGCGCTAGAGGCTACAAGGCTGTAATACAAGGTCAGAATTTAAATCAGTTGAATACCAACCGCTAAAAACCGTCAAAGATGATAATTAAGAGGCAAAACTTTGAACAAAAGACGGAGTAAACCTGTATTCGCTACATGATGTCAGTAAATGTACCATAGACCAGCTGTAGTACCTGGTTGTTCCACCAGGTGGAGCCTCTCACTGTTTAAAGACCAGAGGAGGCATCTACAGACTACAGCTCATGGTGGCAGCAGAGAGCATTGTGGGAGTTTAGCAGCAACGGGACCATGACAGAGACTCTGAGGAGGCTCAGGACCTCCGACCAGAACTAACTTTTCCTTTTAGTCGATCAGGACAGGACGGCTGACGGAGCTGAGACACTTTGGTGTGAGGAAAACAGATCTCTGAGCTTATGTCCACTGTATTATATTAGTTCTAATGATTATTTAATGACTGACTGATGACGCTGCAGACTATCGGTATTTGGTTGAAGCTCTTAGCTGCTCAGTTTGGGCGTGTTGCTGATGACTGTGCACTGCGGCAGCCCTTTGTAGGTTTTTGGTGGACTATCAGATCCTGTCCTTCGCTTTGCTCACGACAACTGGTTTAAAGGAACACAAACAAGGAGGAGCCGTTTCTCACCACGTCAGCAGAACGAGGTGCAGCGTGATGTTCTGCAGAACGGTCGGCTAAACACAAAGATTCCTGTAAACTGCATCTGCTCCGAGTTCCTGCAGCCAAAAGCCCCGAAAACCTAAAAACTCTTCCACTGTGACCTCTCATCAATCACTGGTGTGTTACCATCAGACCTCTGTGTATCCGACTCTAACCTACATCTAAATGCGCCTCGCCCTCTGCCTGACTGAACCTCCATGTGCTACGACAGCGTGCACAAACACACGCCTCCCCTGAACCTCTGCTCACATCTAAACGGTCACAAAGAGACACATTTACGGTGGCGGCGGCGGCGGCGGCGTTGGCCGGTTCTGTCCATTCAGCTGCACACACTGCGGCTCTGTGCCGCCTCTCTATGGAAGGCCTTGTGTGAATGTTGTCACAGCGAGGAGATGGATGCACGGACCTGGCCTGGGCTTTAAGAGCAGCTTAAGAACAGCATGTTTGTTAAAACCACACCTAGCCGTCGCTTCCAAACCAGAAAAAGGAAGGTAAGATGTTAGCGGAGAGCCTGGAAGCGGAAAATACCGAGAGTCAATAAGAGCGGTTAGAAATCGCTCCTCCTGCGAGCCATGAAGCGACTTCTCTGTCGGTTTGGGAGCAGCAACACGTGAACGCGGTAGAGGTTCTGCAGCCTGGTTCTGCTGGTATTAGGTTTAACAATATTCTCGACATGTTGTTCTTGGCAGGACAGAAAAACCTCTGGCACGCTGAACACGGTCCAAAGCCTCCACCAAAACTGAACAAACACACATATAGACTTACACTGAGTGTTGTCAGCAGCGACACGACGCAGCAGAGCGAGCCGCCGCCGCCGCCGTCCTCCGGTCCACACAAAACCAGTATAACAACAACAGAAGTGGAGCATAATGACGAAACCTCCAGGAACGGTCTGAAGGTTAGAGCAGCAAAGTGAAATGAGATTTTAATTTGAGTTTTCTCATCAGAGGAGGCCTGAAGCAGTGAGCTCTGGTTCGTGGATCACCCACAGCTCAGACAAACGCTTAAAGTTTCTGTTTATAAAGACGAAGAGACAGCTGGTCGGAGGAGAAACGTCTTTTTTCTCCTCAATCATCTCTGATTTGAGGGAATCTTTTAAAGTACGAACAACATGTTTCTACACGTATTTGTGAAGTCTGACTTTCTGGGATAAAAATGTTTCTAAAAATTTCACAGCAGTTTTTTTTTTCTTGCACATTGAAACTTGAGTCTGTTTGAACTAATCTATAAAAAAAGAAGAAACTTTCACTTATTTCTCATCATATCACGGATGCAGAATCTGGACAAGCAGGTAACCTCTGAATACAGGTGAGTGGAAATATGACAAAAATGAAATCCTGAGAAGTCACATCTCTGAGCACAAATCAAGAAAAACAACCTGCTGAAAGACAAAAGCTTTTAAATATCAATCTAAAATTTGATAAATACCATTTTAAACATCTGTAGTTTATTCTAATAAACTTTGAGGCAGATCAGAGGTGACACCGTCGACGCCTTTCTGCTGGTTGTGGCCGATACAAGAAACCATATTATTGAGAGTAAACTATAACAGAACAGACGGCTGATGAACCCGACGATTACTCTGAACAATCAGCAGATAAATGACACTCTCTGTTTGGCCATAAGCTTAATCAAACTAAACAGCAGCACTGTTTAATTATTTAAGAGAAGACGCTTCATGAACCTCCAGTATGTCGGAGCAGCAGAGGACTGCAGCGCCGACCGATGGATCGCTTGGTCGATACGCTCTCATCCAACCTGATTCTTATCACTTCCTGTGTTTCTGATTTAAAGAAAAGCTCCACGTCTGCAGCCATCCGGGATCAATCCATCCTAACTGGTCCCACCTGATGGAGGCTTCTGGGTTGAACTCAGTGGTTCCTGGGAGTCCAAACCACAAACAAGTCGTCTGTGTTCATACAGTGGAGCACAAAGTTTAAAAATCATCTGAACCCAGCAGCCCGCTGGTCGTGTTTTATTCCTCATGTGAACATGTGCAGCTGGTTCTGATCCTGTCAGCAGAGAACAACCAGGTTACTGTAACTCAGCGTGATGCAGATCCAAGCTTCTCAGGTGGATTCATAATGTGCTCAGGCTGATAAGGCTAAAGGTGGACTCTCTGCACAGAAGAGGCTCAGGTTGAAGAGAACACAGTCTGACGACAACATGCTTCAACTGGTTCTCTCCTGCATATGTGTGAATCATCTGCTGCACCAGGACACATCCAGATGATTTGATTCTGATCAGATGTCCAATAAATATGTAATTAGCTGTCAGGTGTGAAGAAGAGGAGGAGGAAGAAGAGGCAGAAGAAGCAGGAGATGATACAGAAGAAAAGAAGAGGAAGGAGAAGGAGAAGAAGCAGCAGAAGTAGAAATAGAAGAAGAAGAAGGAGAAGAAGGAGAAGGAGAAGATAGAAGATGCAAAAGGAGGACACGAAGCAAAAGAAGAAGAGGCAGAAGACAAGAAGAGGAAAGAGAAGAAGAACTTGCAGTAGAGGAATTGGAAGTAGGAGATAAAACAGAAGAAGAAAAAAGAAGAAGAAGCAAAAGAAGCACCAGAAGTAGAAATAGGAGAAGATGATGCTGAAGAAGAAGAAGAAGAGGCAGAGGAAGCAGGAGATGATACAGAAGACAAGAAGAGGAAAGAAAGGAAGAGGAAGCAGCAGAAGTAGAAACAAAAAAAGGAGAAGATGCAGAAGGAGGAGAAGAAGCAAAAGAAGAAGAGGCAGAAGAAGAAAAAGGAACAGAAGAAGCAGAAGAAATGCAGAAGACACGAAGAGGGAGAAGAAGACAATGAAACAGCAGAAGAAATAGAAGGAGAAGAAGATGATGCAGAAGAAGAAGAAGCAAAAGAAGAAGCAGCAGCAGCAGCAGAAGAAGAATTCTGGCTTTTTCCAAGTTGGGAAAACACTCATTACGAGGGTGGAGAGACACACAAACATTGGCTGTACAAACACATGGATGTGTGCATAAACAGCTTGTGTGGTTTCTGGCAGCGTGACCAGATATTAAAGAGAGACAGGAAGGGAAAGAGTGAGAGAAACGCTGCGATGCTGCGGTCGGTTCTGTCCTAATAAACCGTCTGGACCTCTGTGGGAAAGCCGTGTGTGTTCGCGTCCATGTAGCGGATGGAGCTGCAGCTCCAGCTCCGTGTCCTGGAGGTCGTTTACTACAGAGCTGCATTTAGGAACAAAGTCGAGGAGGTCGTACTCGTGTCACTGCACACTTCCACCTTCCACTCTCTGAGTCACCAGATCACAGCTTTCACACCTGTACAGTAGAATCCATAAACGTGTTCGTTCTGAAGTAGGTTTTTTCTGTGTTTCTCTACAGGTGGAAAATTCTCCTGCTTCCTAAGGAGCATAAACTACATAAAAATACACGATTAGAGAAACAGAAGTCTGACAGGGGAGGGTGGCTCAGTGGTTAGCACCGTTAGCATCAGAACCGTCTTGTTTTCAATTCTCCGACGGTCCTTGAACGTCTCATGTGTGACGTTTGGTTCCATCAACCAAATGAAAGCTGAAAAATCTCCTTATTGCATTAACATATATTCTACGTGTCTCTTTTATAAATTCACCTGGCTGTAAAACGTAAACATATCTACGGCGCTGAAACGTTCCTGTCCTTGTCGTTTTTTTAATGTTCTAACTGTGAAGACGTCTCTGAGTTCTCTCTCCTTCTTCATGCTGAGCTGCAGGACTTTAAGCTGACACATGAAGCTCAGTGAAGAAACACAACCTGCTGTAAGTTCTGAATGCTTGTGTTGGACTACTGTCACTGAGCTAAACCACATTTTACAATATTCATGATTCATTCTTCTCCTCTGCAGCCTGATTTCTCCATTTAATCTCCATCTGTCACCACATCTCTGGTCCTTCTTTGCTGCTCTCGGCCTCTGAGGATCCGTGAAGCAGCAGCGGTGTGATATGTGTGTGTGTGTGTGTGTGTGTGTGTCGCTACCTCCACCTGGTGAGTGTGTGTGCTGGAGGCGGGACTCACTGTCGGCTGCCGCGCCGCCATTGGGCAGCGAGCCCAGGTCAACAACCATGCCGTCCAGACAGACGTTGAGCTCTCCTCCCGCCACAACCGAGCCTTTGTTCTCCGTCTGCAGCACCAGACTCAGCTGGACGTTCTCCACTAGAGGGGGGAAGAGGAACCGTGGAGGAGCCGTGGAGGAGCCGTGGAGGAGCCGGAGGAGGAGGAGGAGGGAAAGCAGTGAGAGGAAATCTTCTGTTATTGCTCTTAAAGAGGAAAACAGTGTGAAGCCACAGCCAGCATCCAGCCCTCCGACACGCTGACGGAGGTTCTGATGGGTTCAGATCTAAAATATACATTATTCACCGTTTCATCACATTTCTGGTATTTATATTGATCTGCCCTGTGTCTAAGACTTTAACCTCCATTTTCTTTTATTCCACTTGATATGTCATTTATTATATCTAGTGCAGCTGCATTGATTCATTTTCTTCTTCTCTCTCCTTCTGTTGGTCTTCCTGAGGTTCCTTCTTTTCTTTTATGTCCTGACTGTGAAGCACTTTGTAAACTCTGGTTTTAAAAGGTATAAATAAAGTTTTATTTACTGTATGTGTACTCCAACGCTGCCTGAAGCTGATTTTCTCTGGTGAACTGGAGCAGGCAGAATTAAAATCTGTGTGTGTTTTAATTCCCTCAATATTAACATTTAAGGATAAAAAGGACACAGTTCTGCCTGTGATGCTGTGTAATGTACATTCAGATGTTCCCTCCATGTGCTGCTTACATCCCAACATGCGTGTTTCATTTTACACGGAGGCTTTCACATGAACACGTCTTCTTGCAGATAAAAACAAAAAACAATCTTCTTATTAAAAAAATGAGAAAATCGTCTGACGAACTCACCGAACACACGAGTTAAAACAATCACTGACAGTCCTGCTCCAACAAACTAATTCTTGTTCTTCCTGAAGGGGGCGGGGCCTGTAGCAGGGGGCGGGGCCAGCAGCAGATCAGCTGCATTTAAAGCTACAGACACTGAAACAGCCTGTTTAGAACTAAAACAGGAACATTTGTGCTCACTCGGGGCAGAACATGAATGAAACATGAGAGGCGTAGCGCTCTGAACGTGGGCCTTTAACTCGTGCGTGCGGTGAGTTTATCAGAAGATTAGATCTGGCTAACGTGTCCGTCCTCACTCTTGCCATCGTGGGTCCTCAGCGTGTCCAGCAGGTCGATGGTGGCGCTGCCCAGGAGCTCCTTCCTCAGAGTGTGGCAGCTCCACAGCTTCAGATCCAGGCGACTCTGAGGCGTCACGTTACTGACACACACAACAAACACACACCGCATTAAAAACACAGGACGCGCTGCATATCGCTGCATGTATCTGACCAGCTGAGCAGATAGCAGCGTGAACAAACATCCCATAATACTCCTGAGTCCTGGTTTATTTGTCTCCCCTGCTGAAAACAGCAGCTGAGGTTCAAAATGAGCCGCTTAATGTTGAACAAAGCAGATTTGTGCATCTAAACTTGACTTAAATGTTGTTTGTGGCTGGTACTTCCTGGAGCAGTGGCGGGAGCAGCGGGTTTCACGCTGTGTGCGATCACTGAGTCAGTTTAATGGCTTTCTGCTGCGGTGTCAGTGCCTGTGCAGCTCTTACAGGGTCAGGTCTTCGTTCCACTGCAGCTCCAGGTGTCCGCTGCGTTTGCCCGTCTTTTTGGTTTCGCTGGTCAGACCGTCGGCCGTCACCTCGACGAAGGAGCTCAGCCGGGAGTGGCGGTTCGGCAGCTTGGGAGACTGCGGCTTGGCTGACACCACTGTAAACAAACAAACAAACAAACAAAACGAAAACAAATAAACCGAGCTCCTTCAGGTAAAGCACGACAGAAAATAACCTCTGCAGAGCTGCCGGCAGGTTGGAAACAGTCACTGAACTGACAGACAGTGTGAAAACAGAGATGATGGTCAGTCCACTGCTCTCTGAGGTCCTTCAGCTACCACACAGACAA